AATTTATTATAAATATTTCCTGAGGTTTTTTCTTATTCATATCAACTATAATTTGGTTTTAATTATTTTTTGATTATATTTTTATGTTTAAAATATTAGTGTAAATATTGTATAAAAAGGTTTTCAAAAAGTAGTAAACTATAACAACAAAAATTCATTTTTATATTATTTTAATCTAATGAATTTCTAGCTGACCATATAGCTGTTTTGAGTATGGAGTTGTGTTGGAAATAATTCTTGTATTTAATTATTCTTATATAACTTTTTTTAAGACTGCAAGTACCAGGAATCGAACTCGTGTCCTGCCAAATTTGAAGCTAAGAGTCAGCGCCCCTTAACCAACTGACCCAAAGCTGTACTTGACTTTTATGTTCCTCCATTTTTCTGGAGTTTTGTTAATTTGCTGTGAAAGTTTTATCAACAAATTCACTTGCTGTGTTGTATTAGAACAATATTATAAACCAGCTGTAATTAATTGAATTAATTAATTATATTTTTATATGTAATTGTTAAGTTTCAATACTATTCTGTTTGTAAAGGCATTGTTTGTTGTGTAATTTATATATTCTTTCTCATGTATAGAACATAAATCTAGGAACATAATACTGAAAAAGTCATGCTAATGTTTTTCCACGACTCACACGGGCGAAACTGGTTATTTTTAGGACTAAAGTGACTGTTATATTTAATAGAAACTGGTATATTTCATTATGAGGTTTTCGAAAAGTAGTAAACTACAATAACATAAATTCATTTTTATATTATTTTAATTAATTGAATTTTTATAAAATGCAGTATTATTATATTCACAATATATAATTCTCAGTACATTCGCAATGTAAACATTTCAGCTGCGGTTTCAGCTATATCAAGTTGGAAAGACCACAACATTGGGCAACTCGAAATTTCGAAATCAAAATACATGAGATATGATATATATTGAAACATAATATGAGGAAGACACATTATATTACAATTTTATTAGTGTATTTTAAGTTAAACTTTGTTTCCCCGTAAACTCACAAGCTGACTCAATTTGCCATCGGTCACATAAAATATCCAAGCAGCTTATTATCTATTCTTTATATAATAATTTAAACCTACATATTGATTTTTCTTTCACTCTCAATTTTATAATTTGCATTGAACACAACAACAACTTTGCTCATGACGAGCCCATGACACTCTGCATAACGTGGCCTTAAGCATTTTGAAGGCACCATGAAAAATTAAAAACATTATCTACTGTATATTTGTTTAAAAAACATGATTTCTAAAATTTCAACTTGTCAATTTTGACCTGTCAAAATTTTGAAAATATTTTCTTATAAGTAAACTATCATTAAAAAAATTAGTAGATTAATAAATTAATTTTTCTTGATTCTAAAAACATAAAATATGGTAAGAAGGGCTTGAGTATTAAAAAAAATAATTATACATTATATATATGTAATACCTATATATCTTGAGCACATACCACAATAAAATAAATATAAATTTTACAATAAAAAATGCATACACCATAATATGTAGGTTTAAAATTCCGTGGTATACCACTCTTTTTAATAGATCAGTTATGTAGAAATATAAAATAAATTTTAAAAATATCAACTAATTTCTATTTTACTTTCTTTTTAGATTGAATAAATGTTTTGAATATAAACTTGATTTTTCATTTGATTCACTGTGAACAAGGCAGATATTTTAAAACACAGTTGTCTTAACATAACTTCCACCTGCCAAACAAATATATAAATTACAAATATATAATACTATGAACATATAATATAAACATATATAAATTTTAATTCAAACACCACTTTGCATTATACAAATTTTTGTTTTTTAGTCTCAACGCGGTTACAACTATATTGGTCCTGAAGTTGCCTCTGCTGGTATTGCTCAGACCAAACCATCCACGATACTAGCAGGAGGTGGTCAAGGTGGTTTTTCTGCAAATGCACCGTCAGTTGGATATCCAATAACTCAAACCGGCAATGAAAATTCACCGTATGTTGGCGGTTTTGTTGGACAACCACAAACACAACTAACGCAGCGCACAAGTGCCATCGGTGCCGGTAATTTTCCTACTGTGCTGCCAACTGCAACTGGAAGTGTTTTTCGTACTGGAAATGCTAATGTACAAAGACCGGCTGGTGCCGTTTTCGGTGGTACACGGCAATTTGCTGGTGCTGGTACCGGTGTTGGTGAAAATACTGGTGTAGGAATAGATGAATCAGAAGGTGACTATTCTGCTATACCAGGTTTACCTGGAGTAGACTATCCCATTTATAGCGTCGTACCGCCCACAACATTCGATTGTCTACAACAACCATTACCGGGATATTACGCTGATGTTGAAGCACAATGTCAAGCATGGCATATTTGCGCACTCAATCGCACTTATTCTTTTCTTTGCCCAAATGGCACGGTTTTTAGTCAAGAAACTTTGGTATGTGTATGGTGGAATCAGTTCGATTGCAGTATTGCTCCAAGTCTTTATGGCAATAATGCGTATATATATGACTATGGCAATGAACGTGCGACAGCTCAAACTCCACAAATCGGTGCAGCTTTCCGTCAGCCTACAAGCTTTGTTAATCCAAATACTGTACGCCCACCAGCACAAGGTTCTAATATCTTTACTAGTGGTGGATTGCGCACAACTATTACTGGTGGTAATACTTTTGCTAATACACCAATGGGTCTACAAGCGGGTTTTGCATCAAACGTTCCTGTAATTAGTAATACAGCTTCAGCAGCACGTTTTCAACCAGTTAATGCTGTAACTGCAGTTCCAACATATCCCACGGCGGCAGCAGCAGCAGGAGTTGGTGTTACTCCTGCAACGTTGGGTGCTGTCATTAATCGTCCTTCTGGTGCCAATGCTGGTGCAGCAACAGTTGCTCGACAAGGAAGACCGGGAACTACGGCTAACCGTGAATATTTACCACCAAGTAGACGTTAGAACGATTTTACTCCAATTTTTTCTGATTTTTAGTACTAATGTACTAAAAAATGGCACACGTTTATGATGTTCCTTTTAAAACACGAATAAATCTTAAAAAGTGTACAGATGAAATGATAATTTCAATTCTGTTTCCACTTTATGTATATTAGGTTTATAGTATATTTTTAATTTCATAATATGCTTTACTACTTCATTTCATCCACTCTATGTAAAACAAGGCATGCCTTTATGTATCTTAATCTTTTCTTCATTTTACTATACATTATATATTTAAGTTTTCAATAAAAAATGTTTAATGGCAAGTAATTAATATTGTTTTAATTTTTGTAAAAAAAAACTACAACAATAAAAGTTCTTTTTATATTCTCCAGAAAAATGCGCGAACATAGTACGGCTTTGGATCAGTGTGTGCGCTGACTTTGAGCTTCAAATTTGGCAGGACACGAATTTGATTCCTGATACTTGCAGTCCCACTCATGATGGATATTTGGCAATACTCAAAACAGCTGTAAGGTCACCCAAAAATTCATTAGATTAAAATAATATACAAATGAATTTTTGTTGTTGTAGTTTACTACTTTTCGAAAAAATCTATATATTATTTTAATTAATTGAATTTTTGGGTGACCATGCAGCTGTTTTGAGTATTGCCAAATATAGTACTCAAGCTAGCGACTGTAATTTAATATGGGGCAGTACTACAATAATGCATATACTCGACTTCATTTTTGATATTTCTACTTACGCTAGTTTAATAGTAAGCTTTGGATTTGAAGAATTTGAAAGTATCTCTCTTATTGTAAAGTTTTGAAGTATTTAGAAAGTTATATTTAAGACACATGCATACTAGAAAGTAGTAACTATTATCTTTTCAACAGATAAAAATATCTTTGTTTTTTTCTAAAGAATGTCCTTCAGAAAAAATCCTTTCCTTTGTATAAAGAAGCAGATATTACTAGGAAATAACATGGGTGACTAAAAATTATGCATATTAAATTGATGTCAAATTGAAAAATCAAACTAATCAATCCTTATAATTTTTAATAATGCCGAAATAAGTTTTAAAATATCTTTGTGATATTTCACAATTATTATTTTCTATTGATTTTTTTCATAAAAAAAGAGAGTGTAAGTTAATGAACATCGCCCTGGTACATTGTTTTTATTACAATATATACCCATAATTTATGATAAAGTTACACAATGAAATGTAACAGTACAATTATTGTGTATTGTATTGTGTGTTATACCAGATGGACTGATAAATACCCGACCTAAGTAATAAAGACCCATTTTTTTTGGAAAATTATATTTTATGATTCAATACAGTCCCCTTTTAGCTCGACATACATATTTGGATTCCTTTTAAATAATACGATTTATTAAGTCCTCAAAAATGTACCTCTTTACACTTCATCATTTGATGCAAGTCTCATTTCCTAGAGCCATCTATTCAAGTTTAGAAACAGGTAATATAGTCACTGGAATCCAAATCTAGAAAATGCGCTGAGTAAGGAAGCAATTCGTACCGTAATTCATTTAATTTTGCCATGGTTTTCATAGACGTGAGAACGGATAATTTTTTCTTCGACAAATGTGTGTCGTTTTTTCTTGATATCCTCATCAAATCGATCCAATGTTATGCAATGGCAGTCTGATGTTAATGTTTTTCCTTTTTCCAAATAGTCCATGAAAATTATTTCACTTGAATCCCAAGATACGAAAGCCAAAACTTTTCCAGTCGATTGTTGAGTTCGTGACCGTTTGGGAACACTACCCCCGGACTCTACCCATTCTCTGGCTTATTGTTTCCTTTCAGGTGTGAAGTAATGGATTTATGTTTTATGAATTGACACTACTCGACGCTCACAGTCAGCTAAATTTTGATATTAGATCTTGCCTCTCTAACTGTAACCTTATAATTTATATAACCACTTATTTTTACTTTTAGAAAAATTTATCACTTGAAAAATATGTCAAGTGATTTTTTTATGTAATTTTAAAACTAAGCGAAAAATGTATATTAATTAATTAATAATAATATAATAAGAAATAAGACAATGATTCTAAATAGATTCCAAAAAGTATGCATAAACATTACGATTGCAATTATAATCCTTGGAATTGTAATAATTTTGTTGACGTCTAATTTTAAACATGAAAACGAAAAGCTTAAAACTGTATTGATAGCAATCGCGCTCGTTTGGCTGATAAAATATGTTATATTTGATCTGTTAATCCTTGTAGCATTAGCATTCAGTGATGTTTATTGCAAATGTTATAAGAAATTAAAACGAACTAGGCAAGAGGACAAACCACAGCAAAATGGACATATTGAGACTCTCAAGTTACAGGTAGAGAGCTACAAGTCAAAAGTACAATTACCAGAAAAACACACACATGAAACCACCAACTTAAAGTATAAACAAATAACCGCAGACTTGTGGGTCTACGGTAAACAATTTTTACTGCTTTTAATAGTGATAATGGGAATACATAATGGTCTAACCTATTGGAATGCGGTCATTATGAGACGAGTGCTCACAAAAAATGAAGAACGAGACTATTCATTAAATGATGTCAAAACTCCAGACCAAATATATGAATTTATACGGAACTTACCGATACTGCAATTCAATGATGGTAAGGATTACAACAATATGGAAATTAAGGAGCAAGGTTGGATATCATATGAGCTGGGAAAACTGATCGGTGTAGTACGTTTAAGACAGTTTCGTCGCACAAGTGAAAAGGATATAATTCGTAATCTAGTATATGAGTTTCGTCATTTTATGCCTGGTTGGCAACTGCCTTACGAAAAATTGCATTATGTAGATAAATTTTGGCGTATTACTGAGCCTTGGTTACCAATGGAGGCAACATCTTTTCAAACTCATAACGATTTCTTCGCTTTCACGCGTTCGGGGGTTTTGGATGATTATGATGATGGAGGCTACGTGGCAGTACTAGCTAGAGACGTAAACAATAGTGAAAATGTTGTACAAATGCTAGAAGAATTTAATTGGATTAACGAAAAAACATTAGTGGTGTTTATTGAGTTCACAGTGTACAACACCGATACGAATATTTTCACTGTTTCTAGCATTATGATGGAGCAAACACCTTTTGGTATTATAATGTCCTCTTGTAGCGTACTCAGTTCAGCTCTCCTACTGAATATTGACCAACTCAGCTATATAGGGTTAATAGTGTTATTGCTCTACATACTACAGTTGATAGAATTCACAACAGTTATTTTTCTAAGAATTTGGCATGCCCCAGAAACAATTTGGTTACCATGGAATTTAGTGGATATTACTATTGTTGCGCTAAATTTGATTGTCGTAGCGCTCATTGTATGTAGAGAAGCTTTATTGGAAAAACTGATGGATTATGTATATGAAGCCGAGAAATTGCATTATATTGATTTTCGTGTACCAGCAGAAATTGACTATATTACTTTGTTTGCATTGGGTCTGCTAGTTGCCTTGACAACGATCCGGCTTTGGAAGATATTACAATTCGCTAAAGTATTTAATGCGTTTACTACTACACTTTTTGAGGCCAAATATGCTTTGATCTCAACAACATTACTAATATTTCTTTTCATATTTGCTTTCTCAATAACATCACTAATTATAAATGGAAATAATGTTGAATCGTTTCATAGATTTTTCAAAAGTTTTTCCTGCTCTATAAGTATAGCCGTTGGTTTTAAAAGTGATGGTAACCTAAGTGATGTGGAGCATGACAGCCAATTTTTAGGTATAATATTATATATTATACTTGTGTTCGCAGTTAGTATTGTGCTAATCAATTTGTTCATAACGCTGAGCCTTAGTTACTTTAGCACCATTAAAGCCAGCAGATCAATGGAAATTGACGTCGATCTGAGTTTCTTTGAATATCTACGAATGGAATACAAATCATGTTGTCAGCGCTGCAAATGCTGCAGGACAAAAGCTCAGAAAACTAAAAGTCAAATGACAGTAAAGGAAGATGTTGAAAGACAAATAGAAGAGCACGAAAAACTCAACAAAGGTGAAAAGGATGACAACTCTGAGGAAGCTGATAAACCTAGTGAAACAATAAAACAAACAGAAGAAAACATAGAAAAACAAGCTATGGAAAAATATGTTGATGAAATTAATAAAATAGAACGTTTACGAGAAATTGCAAGAATATTAACTTTACAAACTGAGTTACTAAGTCGAGTTCTAAATGAAGTAGACAGTGATTTCGAGACTGACGACGAAAATGAAAACGAAGGACATTCAAAAAACGGTAAAATTATTGAATTAAGGATATTCATCTGTTTAATTAAGTTGAAAGAGAACTGCGAATTTGACTATAACTATCCACAAAAACAGCTATTTTGGATTTTAAATTTAACTAATAGCGCAATAAATATATATAGTTAGTTATTTACATAACATCACTTTCTATAAAGTGATTCATAATTAATTCAAAATTATTAAAATTATTATTATGATTAAAAAAAATAACCGAAAATTCTATAACCGAAAAGATCGTCAGTCGAAGGTTAAGTTGAAAATTGTTTTTAAAATAAAGTAAAAAAAATTCTAATAATACATTTTTGTTTACATGTTATTTATATTTTAATGCTTATCTAGTTTTCGATAATGTGCTAAGTTCTTGATTTAGATAAGCTTTTCCAAAATAACTTATTCCGAATACTTTTTCTAGAAAAAAACTGGAAGGAAACAGAAAATATAAATATATTATATTTCTATATTAGTGTTTAAAATCAGAGTTCGTATTTGCGTACCCATGGGCGGCTCATTTCGGCTCATTTTGCTCACGGCTCATGAGCCGGCAAAAAACTCTTTTCATACGATGGCTCACGCTCACGAGCAAGCACAACTGCAGAGCTCACGCTCACGAGCAAGAGCCGCCATCACGGTTGCCACTTGAAAATTTTTTCCTGTACCAAAATTGGTTTAAAAAGGTACCATTTCTGTAAAAAAATTTCCAAAATTTTTTTGGACCTTTTTGTTTTTTCGTTCTGTATTTTTCATAGTGCTATAAATGAACAAAATATAAAATAGTGCAAAGTTGAATTTATAAAAAAAAATTAATTGGAAATATCCACAATAAAGTTGGGTCGTCAAAAATGTACCATTTTTTAAACATGAGTACCAAACGAAAAAAAAAGTACCAATTTTGGTACTAAAGTACCATAAGTGGCAACCGTGGCCGCCATTAAGTTATAAATGGGCTTACGCTCGTGAGCAAGAGTATGAGCTGCGGCTCATGAAATCTTATGTGCCCAATTTAAGATTTTGCTATGATTTTTTTTTTTTTCGAAAACATGTCATTAAAAAGATTAAAAATATTAATAATCTTGAACTAACTAAAATATGGAAATAATCAAAGTTCCTAAAATAAACAATAAATATATTTTTATTGTTTATTTGTGGAAAATAATAATATTTTATAAATTTGTTTTTCAAATTCAAATTATTGTTTCATTATATTGTTTGAAGGCTCACGCTGGTGAGCAGCTCTTCAATATGAGCCAATTATGGGCTTACGCTCATGAGCCAATTTTGGGCTCACGTAAGAATTGGCTCTTGCTCGTGAGCCTGAGCTGCTCATGAGTGAGCAAATACGAACCCTGTTTAAAATACAATTTTAAATTTCCTAAATGTGTAGTTAAGAAGCGAACCTTAAGTATTTTACAAACTGGATAAAATCGGAGATGTATATCTTACAGCTGCTATCAACAATCAGAAGTTATTTTGTTAATAAAATGTTTTCTATATAATCATAAAATATTTTTTTTTCTTAATTTATATTATTTTTATATTAATTATAAATATATTTATAATTATTTATTATATTTATACTTTTATATCAGAAATTTGTTAAGCATACCGATTTCTTAACGGCACTTTTTGTGGTTGATTGAATTTCAAATTGTCTTCAGACAAATGTTACTAATTACAAAAACAATCAATGTATAAAATGTTTATATTTTTATATATATATAAAAAATATATATGAATATATATTATAACATATATTCCATATAAACTATGTGAACTGTTGGAGCATTTAAAGTTTGTGCAGCCTTGGCTTCTTGTGGATAAACACGATTAGTCATCGCTTCTAATTTGACAGGAACGAGTTCTAAGCCTGGCACTTGCAGTCCAAACAAAATTATATACGGACTATAAACTAATTAAATAAAAATTCGATTACTCCAAAGACCACTGATGAAGAGTACTTGGCAATACTCGAAACAGCGTTGTATGGTCAGCCAAATTTCAATAAAATTAAAATAAATTTTTGTGTTTGTCCTTTATTTCTTTCTTTGCTATTCAAAAACCCCTCTAAATTTTAATAAAGCTTCTTTGTCCCTACACAAAGAAAGTCTAGCTTTACAGCAACACAAATACTTTATTCAATAATATATATATTTATTTTATTACTTTCTTGTTTGGGTTCAATGTCTTCAGCAATTCTCTAAACAATTTTATCAGAAGTTTTTACATCAACTAATTATTTAATCATTTTTATTTGTAATATAAAGTACAACGACGATATTTTTGAGCTCTGTACAAATGCATATAACATACATAGTATAATCTATATGATCTTCATAATTTTAAAATGTAAAAATAACACAATTAGTACTTTTTGACCGTGAGAACAGAGAAAATAAATAAAATGGCACTCTATTAACACTAATTGAAGTTGGGAACTACAACTCAATTTCACCAAATTAAATATGTCATTATATTTTATATATATATATATATATATATAGATGTATACTGAATAAATAAAAATTTTTCATATAGGAACAAAAAAAATTGTAGCATTCATCATTAATTAAAAAAAATAATATAATTATTAAATTATATAAATTTGTATCACTAAATTAAAATCAGGTAATAACTCGCCAATTATTATTATATATATTTAGTAATGAAAATATCAACAAATTATTTAATTTGAATATAATTAGACTAAATACAAATACTCAAAAAAGGTGTTATAATAGAATTAAATTTTATAGGTTTTGAGGAAATGCAGAACAATTTGTTACATTGTTTAAACAATTAATTGCAGTTATATTAGTGGAACTACTGAAAATATTCCATTCATGAGTTCATTTATTACAAGCGTGTATAGACAGAAATTCATAATAACATAATATAATTTTGGTCCGGTACTAAAGAAAGAATCGATGTTAAGAACGACTATTTATCTTTATTTTATGTTAAAATTTTAAAGAGTTCGATTCATTTCTAATTAACTAAATATTAACTAACATATTTATAACTTTTTGTTACAACTCACCTAATAGGTGCTTCCCTCAATGACCTAGCTATGTGCGCTAACGTTCAACTTATCTGAGTTCCTGGTCATAGGGATATTGCGGGTAACTGTAGGACGGATGAGTTTGTCAAGACTGGGGCTCGTCTCCCTGATATTCATTTATTAGAAGTTGGCGTTCCACTTGCAACAGCTAAACTGGCAATTAAACAAAAATATCTAAGCATTGCTCAGCAACAATGGGCAAGTGAGCCCAGTTGTCACATTTCTAGGTCGATTTGGTCTAACTTGCATAAAAAGCGTACGAGTAAGCTGCTCCAAATAAAGATAGATCTGCTCAGTACTACGGTATCGGTGCTGACGGCTCATTGCTTAATAGGGAGGCATGCTATGAGACTAGGGGTTCCTTAGGACGAGGAGAAAACTGTGTTCCATCTCATGTGTCAGTGCCCATCTTTAGCCAGAAGAAGATCAAAAATCTTGGAGTCCCCTTTTCTGACCGATCTGACTGAACTGTCATCCTACAATGCGGGTTGGTTCTCCTTCACCTAATTGGGGAGTCGTTGCCTCTCTGTTGGGCGTTGGTCGTATACTGATCACCTTGTCTATATACGAACATTGCTTCTTCCTTGTGGTACCACAACGGGCCATTATTTGTGCTCAAGTGGGCTTTCTTGGTAAACAAGGCTGCCACTCCAACCAACCAACCAACCAACCTAATAGGTTTTCTTAACTGTTCCAGAAAAATAATATTACAGAAAAACAGATTGTTTAAGAATATCTTAATAAAAATAGATGTAGTAACCAAAACGAACGAAGGCACTCTTGAACGAAGTCCCTCTACTTTTTTTTTAACTTAAACTTCTTATAATACGACTTGTAATCTTACTAGAACTTTAAATGCTTCTGGCGTCTTCGATTGGTAAATCTGGGGTTATTTTTTAATCGAATTTCACTGTTAGTGCAATTTTATTTTCGATTGGCAAATCTAGACCGAAATGTATAACACTCGAGATTAATTTTTTGCACTCTAGATATTTTGCCAGAGTATCAAAATTACTCTCAAATTAACAATTGTTTTATATGACTTATATATCAATCGATATATGCATTTATGAAAAATATAAATGTCTATGAAGATTCTATAAAGATGTCTATGAATTTCCTCATACATAAGGCACGTTTTCTTCCAGTGATCACACTTAATATATTTGGCTAAGCTCTTTACAGGATATTAACGTTGAAAGCACTTGCATTGCCATACAGTTGATAACCATATGTTAAAATTGGTGTAATGATGCTGTTATATAAGATAACTTCATATTTTCAATTTAAAGGCCTTTACCTTTGGCTGTTGAGAAACCAGTGTAACCTAACATTTCAAAGTTTGTGTCTATGTGCTTACGAAATTTTAATCTTCTACTTAAGTGAACAGATACTTAAGTTATCTGTTTGGGGAATTCGATGAATCTATTTTGTTCATTAAAATTGATACGCCATAGGGAAACTATTTACCATTCTTTGTGAATCTTTCAAATATCTTCAGGCCAATATACTAAACGTGTTAAATACCTCTAAATATAATCATTTTAATTCTTCAAAAAAATACAAAGTTCCACTTTAAAAAAAAAACTTTAAAACTGTTTTAATACTTCTTTAGATAAATTATCTATTCTGAAAAGAGACCGATATAAAGTTTCATTTAATTTTTGTCTATTAATATCTGTTATTGTTTTTGCTTAAGATTGATTAATAACGTGATAGTAATGAATAGATGGAATTTCCAGACAAACAGTATAAGAAGAAACCTTGCACATATCTTGAAGCATTAAATTGAAGATAAACAAAAGCTTAACCGATGGAATAGACTGACACCAAGCAGCAGTACCGAATAGCAACAATTTGTTGTGCCCTGTGCTTCAAAATAGATTATCGGAACCTTTATAAGAGTTTCGTGTTATCTATAATTTGATAACTCAAACTGAGTACGTAATTTATAATAAGGTATAAAAGTACAGATTCTCTATATAACAACTGATAAGTTGGAAAAACTGTGGTTCTCTGTGTTGATTATACTTTATTATAGAATTATAGATGCCTTTATTATATTTACCTTTATCCATACAGCTACAATAATAAAGAAACCAATGATCTAAAAAAATACTCCAATTAACTTAACGCTCTCCCAATCGAATTGCTAATTTGTTATAAAAAAAAATTAATTTCAAATAATAGCAAAAATAATATTAAACCACTTTGTGAAGCGTAACCACTGTATTTAGAAGAGCGATGAGTTAAAATATTTTCAAATTGAAATTAAAATTAAAACATATGGAATGTATATGTATGTATCTAATGAAACAATATTTGGGAACATATATAAAAGCCTAGCTCAGTAGTTTATAAGCAAACAGTTCTCTTCAGACCGCAAAGCAATAACTAATCCAAAATGAGAGCTGCAAATTTATGGAGTTTCGTATTTGTCATTTTTATTGCTTCTGTTATGGTATTTAATATTTTAGTACATTAAAATAAAACAAGATATTAATTAATTTACTTCTCTTATAAAACGATTTTATTATATGTATTACTGCAGTCGGGGGAGTTACACCCAGAAATGGTGAAAATGGCACAGGATTGTCTTAAAGAATATAATCTCGAGGAAAATGAAGTCAATAAACTACAATGGGATAACATTGATTTTCCGAGTGTAAAGGATGACATCAAGTGCGCAACTAAGTGTTTCTTCGAAAAGAGTAAATACATGGACTCAGCAGGAAACTTTAATGCTGATTCCGCAAAGAAAGACTTCGAATCTGATAAAAAACTGGTGCAAATTATTGATGAATGCAAAGTTATGGAATATGACAACTCATGTGAAAAAGCTTTCCGAATTTTGGCTTGTGTAGTTCAGAAAAAAATGTAATTTAAAATGTGGTGAGAAATGTGTTTAAAATAATTGATTTACTAAACAAAATATTGAAAAATAAAAAAAAAATGTGATAATACGACGAAAATCAACATAATTATTTTGCTTTTATATTACACTGCCTATTGAGAGTAATGCTACATTATTGATATCTGCTGTTTCAGCTTCAAATTGGTTAATATTGCTATTAGTAAAAATCTTACAAAACAATCCTAATACCTAATATCCTAATATTGAAACAAATGATTCGAAAGAACTTACATTCTTATTCGTTTTATGCATTTCGTTCAACCACATACAGCATTTAAAATTCGTATTTAAGGATCTAGTTTTTTAAAGACCTAATTGAAAATAGCTAATGACAAGAAAAAAGAATAGTGTTCACCCATAAAGTGTCTCATGTCCTAATTAGTTTATTAGAACGCACAAACCACAGCTATATAAATTATAGCTTATATATATTATTAACTATATATATTATTATTCACTAATTAATTAATGTTATTTTCACAAAAATACTTTAATTTTAATTTAATTTAATTTGTTTGTACAATCAAATCTCAAACTTTAACTTTATGATATTTATTGGATTTATGGCATTAAGCATCAGGTAGAACTAATTCGAAATGCCAAATAATTAGTCGCATATAGCAAAGCTGCCGACTGTACTATCCAGAAGCTGCAAATTACTCAAAGTGAGGCTCTCCAAAGACTCTTAAAAATGCCATGGTACATCCGCACGAGTGACATACTAAGAGACCTTAGAATAGATCCGGTCAAAAAACCCATAAGGAACAGACCCCTGAAGCTATATGCGAAAACCGGCAGGCTCTCCTACTTAGCATTATCTAATCTCAGAGTAATCACTAACCGCAGAGGGCGGTTTGCCGAACTTAGATCAGTCATTGAATAATCACGAAGCTTACGAGGAATACACAAGTTAGTCAGTGAGATGGGTGGGACTTTGTAGGTCAAACTTTGTAGACCTCTCAGCTATCAAAGAGTAAAAGTGCCCAGATACACTAATTCGGAAAAGGCTCAACATAATAATAATATATTTCCGATATCTTGTTTCTTAGATTTTTTAACTGAAGATAATATTTAATAATATTTTCAATTTATATTGAAAACTTTGCAAATACCTATGTGTGTATGTCACACTATCATGCATCAAAACAATAGATTTTTGCATTTGAAATGTTGCCTCTCAAAGTAGTCCTTATATTATGTTGTCTTTTTCAGTATTCTTACAAAAGATAAGTATATAAAGAAAAGGTTAATGCATAAACAGAAAAACAGTTTTCTTATTATTATAACGGAGATAATGAACCACCAGCAGTACAAACTTTATTACTTTATTATCATATTCAACGAATGAACTTCCAGCAGTTTCAGCAGTCTCTTGGTATGTTGTAAGAATGGATAACGATGCTCCAGCGAAAAAGGTGCTTGAAGCCGCAATTTGAGAAAGAAGACGTAGGAGAGGACAACATCAAGTTAATGGAGTACTAACCGGAGAAGTGCTAACCAGAAAGAAATGCTGATTCTAGGCTAAAACACAATAACAGGTTGTTCGGGACAAATAAATAGATGAGTAAACACACTAAACTATACTATAAAAATGAATGCATCTCTTAAAAATATCCAACTGAACGAAGTAATGATATTTTTGAAATTTTCAAGAAACATAATTAAACATGGTGTTGCGCCACTTATTTTATCTACAATATAGTTACGTTTTTAACTCAATACACCGAGTCCAACGATATTTCAATATTTGGATACCTTCATTATCATGTTTCATTTTCAAGTTTGGAAACATGTCAGTGGAAACCAAATCTTTTAATATTTGGATACCTTTTAAATAATACGATTTATCAAGTCCTCCAAAACATACCTAAGTTTCCTAATCCATTTCATCATTTCTTGCAAATCTCTTTTCCCAGAGCCATCTATTCCAGTGGGTGTAGAAGCAATTCGTATTGTAAACAAGTGAGAGGGTGCATTATTCTGCAAAAACAAAATTTT